TATAGGAGAGGAAACTCTAGTGACTGTGTTTTGGTATGAATGCCGCATTGGAGGAGGAGGAGAAGGTGGTGGTCGATGCAAAGCAGGCGTTTTTTCTGAATTATACACTGGAGGAGGTAACCTCGCCGGTTGTCCAAGATGTGAAGCCACATCATTGGAAGCTCCTATTTGAGGTGAAGTAGGAGGACAAAAAGAACCAAGTGTCTCCGTTTGGGTTGGGTTGGCAGGAGTAGCTGATAGTGCAGGAGATGGCAGAACCGAAGATGAATTTGTTGTTTTAGAAGATTCATGAGGAAAATCATGGGACGCAGGAGGAAGCGGAGGAGGTGTTGAAGGCAGTGTTGTGGGAAGTTTCTCATTTGGGGTTGTTTGATGAAATGTAGAGCCAGCTAATGACACCCAGGAATTCCCCTGTGAAAGAGGCTCTGCCGGTTGGACAACAGAAGGCTGCAACTGCAGTGATGGTTGAGAAGCAACATCTGGAAGTGGAGGAGGTGGTGGAGGTGCTCCTGATGGAGCCAATGGCGTTCTTGAAGGATGAGGTCGTGGCGGTGTGGACGGCGAAAATGAGACCGCTTCCCCATTGTTTTCTGTTAGAGGACTCTTCAGAAAATTCTCCTCGAGATTTTCTGGGAAACCAGAACCGTCCACGACGGGTTTAATTGTTGCAGAATGATGCACAAGCTTGAGAGAAGGGGACAACTCTGGTGCATCCTGGTTGTTGGTGTTTTCCTGGCTACTTATCTCAAGAACAGCACGTTGATCTTCTGCTATAAGCTTCTTGACTGAATCGGTAGGACGCTTTTCTGGTGAGTCGACCGTTTCAACCTCGGATAATGAAGACAGTTTGAACTTTACACTATTTTCAATCGCTGCATGTTTCATAATATCATGGATACTCTTTGGGCTTAACCCTTGTAGTCTTGGGCTTGAATTCGCATCTGATCTTTCCTGGACAGCATTTGCAATGGCTAAATGCTGAAGCATATTGCGTGTGGCATCCGTCTGATCAACCCAGTCAACTTGATTGAAGAACTCATGAACTTTGGAAAAAACTTCTATTGGAAGACCATCTTTCTCCTCCAAGCACGAAAAATCCATCAAGTCAACAGACGAGGCAGCATCCATATCTGAGAAGAGAAGCTTTTCACAGAATGTATTCTTTGTGAGTACTAAGTTACAAAGGAGTAGCATTATATCATGTAAAGAAAATCTGAGCCCCATTTTTACATACCTCAACTCTGAACCCCTTTGGGAATTGTTCTTTTATATGCCATAACGTGCCTACTTCATCACGGTTAAGCATCAAAATGTTAGATCTAATAAAAGCAGTGTTGAACACCACTCGAAACAGCATGACCTCTTTTTCCATGTCATCATTCAAACTGAGGCACTCAATCACGATATCACCTTGCACATGACAATTGATATCAATCTTGACTAGTTCACGTTCTGCCTGCAAAACACAAGGGTCAAGTAAACAACAGAGAAACCCATTCAATCATTTTGCAAACAAGGACAAAGAAAGCTAAAACGCAGAAGAACAAAAAGCAACAGACAGAGAATCAGAGTTCAAAACCATCTCTCTTGCTCAAACCTTAAGAATACAATGTTCATTTATTTAGCACAGTCCAAGTCAGAAGTCGTCGTCATTTGCGAAGAACGCAATGAATCTTCTGTGAAACATACCTGCTTGTAGATCCTAAGGTGTTTCCCTTTCTTAGGAGTCGAGTACAAAAGCTTGGGCTTTTTATCATCTACAAAAAACGGATCCTGACCATATACTCGGAAGATTGGGCGAAAGCCTCCTTGTCCACTAATATCAGGAATAAATCTCAAAATAACACAATCCATGGTGAGAGCCCTATCCAGTGGAGGCCATTCAGAGACCAAATTCCTTCTTGAAACGTATTGTAGATAGCGTAGCTGAGAAGGAATCGGGTTCAACGGTGAGAACAAATGCAGAAGTTCACGCGGAGCCTGCTTGTAGATCATGTCTAAAGTCTTGTACTCACCACTGTACTGCTTCCTGTAAATAAGTAGGGCAGCTAGCATGAAAGCTAAAACCGGCCAAGCCCCGCGTTCACAATGCATTAGTAACAAGTTATTTGGGCCAAGCGAGAGCCAGCTTTCACTTGACCGGAGAAAATGGTGCATCACTTCCACAGGCAACAACGAGCAGCCTTCGTAGTGCCGAGGATAATCCATTATGGTCAAGCCATGTTCTGATAAGACATCAGCCATGACACTTCGAGTACCCACTTCACGGAAATTAAAGACAAGAGAGGATGCTTCAGGGAAGTGTTCCTGTAGTTGATTGACTACTCCAGCCATATAAACTTTGTAGTTTTCTTCTTCCCAAGAATCGGTAGAGAAGCAACAGTCGAACACTGCAAAACACACAACGTAAACCTTTGTCTTCAGTTCAAATNTCTTTATACCAATCACGATAAAAATAAACAAAATCCAATTTAACAACATCGAGCATTTCTTCGTTTTAGCACAGACGCAAAACAATTGTACAATCCGACTAAAGCGATCAAATTTCTCAGACAATTCGCAGAATGCGGGATAGCTATTGGACCTAGATCGAATTTTAGAACGCCACAAAGTAGCGTCGGAGGTTTTTCAGACATTCGATTCAGCAGACCGAGAAGTAGAATCAAACAAGGCAAAAATAGACAAAACGAAGCAGAGAATTTGGGAAGAAAGCAGACCGAAAACTCTGTCGCATATCTCGAGCAGACCATCTGGAGGTTTGCGGTAGAACAATTTGCGAAACAAGGCCATTTTATCAAAATCCTAAACCCTTTTCTTCTTCGCATTCAAAAAAAAAAATCGACCACCTTTGTGTGTGTTTCCAGAATCTGAAGCGAAAGTTTGCTTTTTTTTCTTGTTGTTTAATCTGTTAGAGAATGCAAAAATGATGATGATAGAGCTTCGATGTTGATTGTTGTGTAATCTGGAAGAAGAAAAGGTCAGCAGCTGGCGCGTTTTATGACGTGGATCCCACGATCAGCCGCCAACTCTCCACCCGATCTGACACGTGTCTTCTCATCTACGGACGAACCGGCATTAATCTCTCGGCCCATTTTTTCTCTTAATGGGCTTTTCTTTTTGGCCCGTTAGTGAATCCCACCTACAAAACAGCAGAGCTACTCTACTCTGTTTTTTGCTTAGGTTTTGATAGATCTTGCTTTGTTAATTTTTGGAAAATAAAAAGCAACTATGATGTATCTTAATTTGCTTCTTCTTCCTTCAACAACTTTCTCCAACGGCGGTCTAGATTTTAAGTTTCGGACTTTGAAACCCTAAGAAACATGAATGTTCCGAACCACTCTGTTTTAGCTTAACTTTCCTTAATATAGTTAGTGGCTATTTTTCTCAAGAATAATGAGCTCAGATCAGTTAGTTAAACTAAACTTATTCGCGCATTTTTAGGCGTCAGTTTAGGGTGAGAAATAAATATCAGATCAATGATTCCCAATTTCCAAGGTGTGACATAGTCAAAAAAGTGTGAAACCTCCTAAAAAGGTGTTTTTTTACATAATAACCCAAATCTTGCTGAATTGAGAAACCACAACCA